ATAAAATCGTTTTAGACTGCGGCTATTAACCGCACAACACTAACTTTCGTTGATAATTCCCATCATCCCCATCTCGAAGTCGGAAAAAAAAATATTTCTCCTCAAACGTATTTTGTAACTTCCCTCAAAATCACAACATCTGACTGGGATTTCCCATCGCTTATTACGCCGTAAGTGAGTGACATTTTTATGTTGTGTCCAAGGATGATCGTAAATCTCGTCGACTTTTTTACGGCCATGTTGGGGTTTTCCCCTGAAGCCTTGATAGTGCTGATTCTAACTTCGCTTTTATTTTGATGGCATGCGCCAGATTTCACTCTCACACATGTTTTTGTAATTGTGTAAAACTGTACTCAACACATACAGTAGATAATGCCCCCCCCCCCTCCGCGTCTTTCGGTGTCGCCATCGTAGAGGCTATGACGTAAGCAAAATGGCGGCGCGCGTTCGCATATAACTGCCTTGCAGTCTTTTTAAGCACTACACGGGCGGCTGCCGATATTGAATTGTCTACTGACTACAATGCCTCGTGCAACTTCATCGTTTAACCGACAATGTGCGGGTAAAATGTACTTCAGACCCTCGGGCTTCAAACATGTCGTTTTGTTTAAGCTCAACGACAGACGGCAAGACGCTGTCACCGACCGTACACGCACAACTGTCACAACATCTAACAAAGTCAGCCGACGAGCGAGATTGCATTTTAGTACATTATATAATATAGTAACCATTGACTGTTCGACGTTTAGATAAATAATCCTCGCGCCACGTCCAACGTCGACCGCGACACTCACTGCCAACTATATATCGTAAAGACATGCCATTGGCACCCGCCCTGCGTGGAACAACACAACTTAGTCGATTCATTAATAATTGACGAGAAAGGCACCACCGTCTTCAAAATCGTCAACTTTTAACTTGTATTATAAAATATTGGACTAGTATTTTATTTATACCTCATACGATATACTTGTTTGTATTCACCTGTTAACTCAATGAATATAGTTGTATCCATGCGCGCAATTAATCAAACATGTGAATTTCAAGTTATTCTCAGGAAAGATGTTATTTCGTTTACGAAATTATTTTTTTGAATGACAAAACTACAAATTGAACGCGTGCATGAATACACTAAAATTCCAAATGAACTCTGCTCACTGTTGAAGATCAATTTCTAAACGTTTAACAGTCAAACTCGCTATCTCGTTAGCAGGCGAAAACGACGCCATAAGGATTTAAACGAGGTTTTTATTTAACTTTAAATGTCCCACAATTATTCCCTTGCCCGCTTCTCGATCGGTCGTAGAGCATATCGGTTTAACCCATCCTGCCACTTGACACACTTCCTCGTTACTGTCACCCGCTCACTCATAAACAACGCGCCAAAAACGTAGTTATACACTATCTAAACCACTTCAACGAATCGGATACTTTCCCGCTAAAATAATGTTTTGAGCGCAGTATACATTCCGAATTACTGTAATATATGACGGTGTTTGGACTGCTACAAGACAACGTTTCAAAGTTTTTTTTTAAAAAAGAAAATGGGGTTATCGCACATATCTTTACTTGGACGCCACAAAATGGCGAGATGACAGGAAATCCGTGCGATACTTTCCCTGTGAGTCTGCTAATCGTCTGCAGAACGTACCGTTGCATTTCTATTCATTTTGTCGATGTTCAATAAATTTGAACCATCTTTGGTTTTAAACAAATTGTAAATACGTCTTTGAAAAAAAAAAGGGTCGGTATTCTAAGGTCCGTTATTGAACTTAAATGAGAGGGGTGATCATTGGGGAAGGAAAGCTGAAAAGAAAACTGGGAAAAATTATTGTCTCTTTCACTTAGCTTTCGAAGTAGTATTTTTATTTCGGAGACGATGGCTTGTTATGGTTGTTGCTGCCCCCCCCCCCCCCGGTGATGTGTATCAGTTTTGTATGTTCTATTTTGTATCTGACGTTGTCCATTGTGATTATTTAGGCGCAGATGTCAGTTTGATTTCCAGAGAAACCCACCAAGTTTATAGATAATTCCTTATTGAATGAGATGCCCCCGTTCTAAGTTTAGAAAAACATGTGCTCTTAATTTCATCTCACAGCCAGAAATAAAAGTGTCGTAGCTACTCCTCGCATTTCACCAATCAGGGGTCGTAAATCACGAGACAACGTGGACGCCGGCCATTTTCACTATCGCACATGCCACGTGACATATCAAGGATTTTCTTAGACTCGGATTCGGGTGACAATAAATCAAACGTCTGGCGTGTCGTAAAAAAGACTCGTAAATATCATGATCAAGTTTTTTGACCCCAAAGTAAAATGCAGTTGGTGTGTTTCCTGTTAATTACAGTAAGAGTTTACGCCATATAGTGATTATAGCGGCTTAGTGGTGGATCAGGGAGGTTGTCCGTGTGAATTACAAAGTCACTCTAATAAACTGCGCGTGTTTCTGTATGTTAAGTTGACGCCATTTTATGTCGGATAGTGTGTCCAACCTTGATTTATACTAGTAGTCTGATTAAGTTTGCAAGTCGTAGTTCATTTCCACCCATGGTAAACTGGGCTGGGGCGCTTCGATGTCAACGTCTATGCTGCATCCTTATTAAAACTAGAACGCAATTTTGCGCGAAAAGGCCCCGTCTCGCAGTTTGACGTGTCAAGAATATTATCACGGCAACGACTTGCCTTGCCTCTCTTTATTATCGAATATGTTTAGAAACAGTTTCAGTCGCAACCGAACTTCAACATGGCTCTTTGTTTAGGCGTGTCCAATTCGATCTTTGGTTGGGAAAAGTTCACTCGGCCGCTATGATTATAGGCGAGCGTTCTTTCCCCCATAGAGTTGTACAATTTTACCTGCATATTTATTCGATGGGTGCATTTTTATCGGCGGTGGTCTGGTTCGCAGAATTAAGCGACTTTATTGACTAAAATATATATTGCATGATTGGATTGTAAATATACATCCGGTCCATCTGGACTCTATGCATGATGGGTAATATGCGCGGATGTGTCTAGGATTAATGGGGATTGTATCAAGGCTGTTAATCGAATTTTACCGTCTAGTTACCCTCTTACATCCGGGCCTGTGAATATCTTAAAACACGGCTATGTTGACTTATATCGAACATTCCATAGATACCTGCACAGGGTCGAATCCAAATGCTCTCCATATGTACCCTAGTAAATTGTCATCTCCAATCCCAGGGTGCAACATCAGTACTTGGTCCAGATATTTTCAGTCAAATAAATGAATACATATTTTGTATTTATTCAAATACGCGGTGACTTCAAACCGTCAGAAACACTCAAATAGAGAAAGCACGTTCGAAGGTTGCCAGTCTGTTGTTCTTTTGTCCCGAGGTGTGAATCACACACTGGTGCGAGAGAGGGGGGGGGGACTAACTTGAACATCACATAGGCAAATAGACCTTCGAAATGTTGCCGTCTAATTGAACCCAGACGTACGTGCATTCTTTTAACAAACATACTAGTCCCGTACTTGGACCCAGTCTTGACGGTGACAAATATAGAGTTTTAGATGATTATTGCCCCCCCCCCCCGTTTGAGAAAAATAGCAAGACCGAAGTCAAGATCAGCCAATATCGTCTGCGTGTATTTCCTGACCGGGTATTCCTTCGCGCGTGACACACGACAGGTGCATAATCATATGCAAATTAAGGCGACCCTGCGTGTGGATGCGTTCGCT